TGTAATTTCCAAACCTGTACAGCCAGACAGCAACAGAAAGATTTTCATATCATGCGTTTTCCTGCTCTTGGGTCTACAGCTGTAACAAACTGGCGGAGGTCAGCTCTGGGATCCACCTGTACCATCTTCAATTACCTTTTAGCCATGTGCATTTCCTGAGGAGCTCTGCTGCCTCCTGTTTGTGTAGATGTAACTTACAGAGATGTGCAACCACGTGTAATAAAAGGGATTTTTGATTATAGCCACAATTCTAAAAAGTGTAATATTTCTTCCTTGAACACCAAGCCCTTGACAGATTTCATCTAAAACTCTGCATGTTCAGCTGGGAGGGGCAGGCAAAGTGATCTGCACGAGAAAATTATTGACTCAGTAAGTTTAGAGCATTTGTAATGAGTGAGGTGTGAATCCTGCTTGCTTGTCCCTGCTCTCAGGACTGCACACAATCACTGGGTTAATAAAACAAAAAACAAACTTCAGAACAGCTCACAGAATAGAGATCAGAATGTGAGACTGGAATCCAGATTTCCTACCATGGCAGTACTAATGTGCTTTGCAGAGCAGCAGTGGGAGGCAGAAGAAAGAGGAAACACACAGTGTGTTTGGGGAGGTACAAATGGTACCTTGGAATGTGGGGACAACTGAATTAACTAACCACAATAGTGTCCATAAAAGGTAATTATTATTTGTAGGAGTGTCTTTCTGTGAGTAAATAACTGGCTGTACCTTATACAATTGCAGAGTAAGTAATGCACTTTCCTCAGGACAAACATGTACCTGAAGTAACACTTCCATCACCTGGACAGGAGCTCTGACCTTCCTCACCTCAGGAAATGTCCCTGTCCAGTCCTCCCTCCAAGGAGCCCTTGCCAGCACTTGGCCTCCTTCAGCCCTAACAGATGGACCAGGCTGGGGCTGCTCAGGTGGGCACTGGCCTGGCTTTGGCCAGGATTGCCAGACCTGATCCTGCTCTGAACAGGTTTGCTCAGGTTTGAACAGCAAGAGAGACGATGCTGGGTTAGGAGTGTTTGCAGTCGTGCCTCCTGTGCAGTTCGAGTGGCAGTGTCAGGACCTGCTGAGCCACACGCTGGGCCTGATGGCACAATGGCACAGCCTGGAGCTCAGGGCCAGAGAGTGCCTGTGGGCAGGGGGCTGTGGCTGGAGCTGAAGCTTTCAGCTCACACTGGAGGGCTGTGAAATGGGTCCCTGTGTTGGGGTGTGAGTTCCTCAGCCACTGCTCAGTGCAGCTCCCTGTGCCTGCTTCTGCTGCAGGGCAAGTGTGGAGCATTTGCTGAGGGGAGCACAGCATGGAGGAGGAAGCACCAGCTTTGCTTGCGGACAGAAGAATTTCTCTTCTCTCTCTGGAGAAGGTGATGGCAAAAATGTTCTGGAGGTGAAGTAGAAGTTTTCATTACTGTAAGAATTAACCAGTATCAGTGCTTTTCAGAGTGAAATACGTGTGTGAAGGAAAACAAATGCCCCATACTGATATTTGCAAGATTGCTGTGGTTAAGTTTAGGCAGACAGGGATGGAGTTGCTCTCGGTTCATCCTGGCTTGGAGCAAGAACAATGAGATTTGAGAGGCTTCATGCTCTCTTTCACAATTACCCAAAACGTTTGGTGTTGTGCTAATTAACACAGTCCAACTTCTTTCCTGGAGTGATTGTACCTTTCAAGAAATACTGAGGTGAAGTGTTGGGTTTTTTCCTCCCATACCTTTGTGGAGATACTCCAAATGGTTTTCTTTGTATGAAAGAAATAAGGAAATTATTTCCTTCTTTGTACGAAGGAAATAATCCATTTTCTTTCATGTCAGACTTAGCTGGATGTCTCTCTATATATTATTTATGGTGTGCTCCTGGTTTTGTTGTTGGATAGAGTAGCTAATTTGAGCTCCAGTAACAATCCATCACTACCTTGGGGAGATATAATTGCTTGTAAGTATAGTACTTGTTGTCTTGTCTTTGTTTTTCATTGCCTTGAATGTGTTGTCAGCTTGCTCAACCTGTAAGGCTTTATGCTTGGAAATAGTGAGGAAAATAGATGCATTAGATTCTCCATGCAATGAATCCAGGCTCTGCTGTGGTAGGTTTTGAACTCAATGAAATCACTGGGGACGAACGTCAGTAACTGAGTGTGTGAGGTGAAGTTTGGCCTTAAACATTAGAGACTGGAAGCAGGGAAGGAACAGTAAGATTAAAGCTGACTTGAAAAAAAATTTAAATATTACACAGTTTCCATAGCTGAGAAATTAGAATTTCTTTAGGGGAACAGGTGGAAGACTCCACAGTGGAGAAATTTTGTGATGTTGTTGACCAGCAGATGGTAGTTGGTGGAAAGGTTTTTTATATTTGTTTCTTGAACAGCTGTAGGTGCATGAGCTATTGCATGTAGGTGTGCACTATCCACTGTGATTTGGGATGCTTCAGCATGTAGTGGAGGAGGGTCAGGGAGTAGATCTGTAGGTAGAAAGGGATGCTGTTACAGTGATACAGGGAAAGACCTAAATATTTGGAAAAACATTCCAGAGAGTAAGATGGATAGCTCAGGGAAACATTGCCTTTCAAGTAAAGTGTTTTTTTATGCTTCAGACTTATCAGAAAAAAATCCAAGTGCATATAAAACTGCTAGGAAGCTGTGCAGTGGCTGGGGAAAACAACCTAGATGATTTAATAGACTTTATGTGTCTCTAACATCTGGATTCAGGGAGTTAATCTGAGTTAGTGGCATTCTGAATCTATTGAGTTTGTGCTAAATCAGGAGAAGTGGGAATTCACAAAGTGCACAGCTGCACTGGTGTCATTTGAAGGCAGCATTCATTGAACCTGGTAGTTATTCACCCAAACCCCTGGAACTCCTTTGATGAATTTGAAACGATAAAATCCCAGCACTGCAGAGCCCTCAGCAGAGGATGGAGGGATCCCACCCTCAGAGCAGGCACGGCTGCTCTCGCCCCTTGGCAGCGTGGGTGCCACAGCCCCTCCAGGGGGGCAGCTCTGAACCTCAGCCCTGCAGCCCCTCGAGGGCTCTCCGTGTGTCCCACAGCCTCTCCTGCTCAGCATTCCTCCTCTGCCCCCCTCCAAAGCTCCAGGTTGTTGTGGCTGTGAACCCTTCTGTCTCTCCTTATGTTTATGACATGTAATCATCCTTTTTGCTCAGCTTCCCAGTGTGTCCAAGCTTCCTTCATGGAAACCCTCACAGAGCTGCAGCCTTACCAAAACAGGGAAAGCTGCAGGAAGGCTTTGTGTGGGCTTTTACTGGGGTGTGTACCTCAGTGCTGTCTGCTGTTCTCCCAGCAGCTCTGCCTCAGGGACTCCTGTTCAGACCAATGGCTGAAACACTGAAACAACCCCTCTGGCTTTGTACAGGAATGCTATAGGGACTGTCTTTCTAATCAGTACATGACTTGGTCAAAATTTAGTGTTTACACTTGAACTAACATCCTGTTTTAGTGGTTTTTTTTTTTTTTGGTTTTTTTTTTCTTTTTCCTCTGTTTCTTCCATTTGGCCAGTGATTCAGCAGATCTGGTGTACTTTCCCAAATATTCTTTTCAGAACACTCAGAATTTCCCAGCATCATAAACTGGGACTAATGGCTTATTATGCTATACCGTAAGGCAGCTAAGCCTCTGCTTTGTATCAAAGGCTCTGGATTTTACATGAAGGTTAAAAAAGGAGCACAGACAGTCCTTGGTGGTGTAGCAAAGGAGCTTTCTTTTTGTCTTCTTAATGTGCTGGGGATTCAGCTCATTTTAACACAAGGCTCAGGCATTCCTGGGTATTTAACATTTATGTCAAGACTGAGCTGTGGCTGAAAGCTCAGAGACATCACAACCCACATTTCTTAGGGGCTGTAGAGGAGAGCTTGAATCATTGGTGCATTAGGTGCCCTGTGGGGCAGAAATCTCCAGAACAGTCCTTGTTGAGTGCTCCTCTAGTGGCTCTGAGGGTGGCCATATCTGTGGGGAAAAGTAACACTTCATTTTAATTTCTCTGAAGTAATTTTTTGGAGTGGAATTATTTCATTCTCATTAGATCTCTGAGGGTACAAGGAAATTCCTGGTTTAATTGGAGAACTTTACCCTCAAAGCCAGCTTCAAATGTCAGCAAAGCTGCTGCAGGTTCAAGAACTACCTAAGCAGCAATGCCTTGAACTGTCCATGTCATCTCTTCTTTGCTGAGTTCAGCAGCATTGCTCCCTTTATACATGCATGAAGTACAATTAAGTGTTGATTTTAGTTCAGGTGAAGAGTTTCAGCATTAAAGAGACTGAGGCTCAAGCAAATGTGAAGAAAAGGGTGGTCATACTTCCTGCCTCAAGTAGTCACATTTTACTTCTTAGCTCTTAGAAACATTCTCCTGTAATTAAAGCAGCTTTTTGGGCTTGGGAGGGGGGACATACAGAAAGTGTCTGACTTTCTGGCAGACTGTTCACAAGAATTTGGCTGTTTTCCTAGACTGAAATTCTGAGGAAATTCTCTAATTGTTTGGGAAGTATTTTTCTGATACAGCATATCTGTGTTCTGAGTGGCACATGTAAGCTGATGTGCAGCCCTGTTCATACATCTCTGTTTGTATGTGGGTGCGCCAATTACATTTTTAAAACCCCAACTAAACCAACCCTGCTATTTTTCTGACCAGATATGCATAATGGCTCTCAGAATACACTGAGCTGAACTTCCTTGGAACATATTACTAGAAAATGGAACGGAAAGGAACCTCATATAACTCTAGGAATAGCAAACTGCCCAAGAAATGTCTTAAAATCAGGATTTGGCATGGGTTGTACTTTCAATATGAAGAAACTATAACATCTTTCTGGTGCTTCTGCATCCTGTTGATGCCAAACAGTACAAATTTGTGGGACATGAAAACACTTGGGGGAGGATTTAATTACTGTCACTTGTGTATGGATTATTGCTTTGTTTAATTGAGTTGTTCTGCACCTAGTGTGCAGGGCTGTGATTTATCCTGTGATTTAGTCTGTCTGTGCTTCTCTGCAGGGGGAGAGGCCCTCTGAAGCACACGGCCGATGTCATCAATGCCGCCAAGGTGATCTCGGAGTCGGGCTCGCGCATGGACGCCCTGGCGCGGCTCATCGCCGACCAGGTGAGCTGCACTGCAGGAGCCTGCCCTGCTCAGCCTCACACACCCCAGCACCTCCCAGGAGCTCAGCTCCTGTCTGAGCCTCCCTGTGCAGACTCCTCTCTGTGTGGATCTGTTGTCATCTCGTTGTTGTATTTCTAAAGTCCCATAAAGTCTTGTACCTTCTCAGTGATACTTCTTGGGGGCAGTTCTTCACAGCTCTGACTTCTTCTGCTGCTTGTTGCTGTTTCTTAGTCAGGGCTCCTTCCAGGCTCTCCCTGACTGGCCAAGCCCACCCCCTTTTATCCCAGTTACCTTCACTAGCTACAGCCCAGTTAAGGACATTGCAGCTACAGCCCATCAAAAACAACCGGGGCTTATCAGGGCAAGGCCTATATACAGATATTCAATATACAATACAGATATTTTACTAAGACTCCTACTATATTTCCCCCTTTTCATTTACTTACAGAGACAGCTTTTACATATTCCACTTATAATTATATAATACATATATTTTCCCAGCTCTCGACTGTACAATACAATACAACTAGGGCTTCTACTATATTTTCCCCCTTTTTACAGAAACATATTTAGATGGACACAATATACTACATATATTCTACCACAGCCCTTGGCTGCACAACACATATATTTACCATGACTCGAAGGCTATGTTTCCCCACAGCTTCTTGACTCAAAGGCCATAATCCAACACAGCTCCTTGTTTCAATAGCCATGCTTCTCCACAGCTCTAGGCTGTCTTAGCCTCCACAGCTCTCAGGCTGCTTATCTCCATCACGTTGGGGTCACCAGATGTTGTAATCTTGTTGTTGTATTTCTAAAGTCCCATACTGTCACAAACATAGTTCTAAAGTCTCATACCTTCTCGGTGATATTTCTTGGGGGCAGTTCTTCAGTTCTGACTTCTTCTCCCACTTGTTGCTCCTTCTTTGTCAGAGCTCCTTGTCAGCTCTCCTTGACTGGCCATGCCCAGCCCCTTTTATCACAGTTATCTTCACTGGCTACAGCTGCAGCTCAATTAAGGACATCGCAGCTGCAGCCCATCAAAAACAACCAGGGCTTATCAGGGCAAGGCCTATATACAGATATTCAATGTACAATACAGATATTTTACTAAGACTCGTACTATATATATCCATGGTCTGTTCATGTACACCTGAAAGGGATGTGTACATACATCACATGTGTCTAGGGACACACATCCCTCTGCACATGCATTTGTACATGTGTCTGAATATTTGTGAGCTCCCTTAAGCTCTGATTGCAACATTTTAGACATAAAGTATATATGAACATGTATATAGATACACATTTAAAAAATATATATATTCATGGCTGCTTTAATTAATTAATTAATTATTAACATATTAAGGCATATGTATATAAATAGTTGTATAAAAAGCTGTTGTTCTGCTTTAACCCCAACTGGCAACTGAGTACAATGCAGCTGCTCAGTCACCTACTCCTGGAACCTGGAAAAAAGGAAACCTCATGGGTAGTTGTAAAAAGTTTATTAATTTAAAATATAATAGTAGTAGTACTAGCATTGATGCTGAAAGAGAGGGGGAGAGAGGACTGAGACCAGAGAGAAAGAAGGGATGCCCAGCACAATTCCCCAGCATGTGCTGCCTGATGCCCAGCCTGTCCCTGAACAGCAGTCAGCCCCTTCCAGGTGAGTCCCCCATGCTGGCCATGGCACTCCATGGAACTGGTGTGGAAGAGCTTTGGCCAGTTCACGTCACCTGTCCTGGCTGTGCTCCCCCCCAGCTGCCTGCACACTGCTCACTGAAAGGTCCTTGTGTGCCACCTTCCTTCCCATTCTTGATCCAGCAGAGCAAGGGCCAGCCCCTGTGGAGAGCAGGAGCTCTGTGCCAGGCAAAGGCAGCAGCTGTGCAGGCAGCAGGGCAGAGCTGCAGGCTCATCCTCTCCTGAGGGAGCTGGGGAATTGCCCAGCAGCAAAGCAGCTGCTCCAGGTGAGCTGTGTGAGCACAGCATGGAGGCACTGGCACAGAGCTATGCTGCTCTGGGCTCTGAGCACCAGCTTAGGAAGGACAGACTTGTCTGGCTCCAGAATAGTTTGTTCTCCACCCTCTGCAGAGTCACAGAATCCACATTTTTCCTGTATTTCCTTCCCTGCCCCCCACCTCTAACACTGGCTGTTTTGGCCTTTGCAAATCTGCAGCTTGAAGGTGATTTTTGGTCGTGCATTTAATTTTTATTTGAAGTTATTTTAAGTAACTCTTACGAGTTACTTATCACCATGAAATGCCAAGTGTTAGAGCTGGAAGGTGTGCTTTATTTCTGTTGGAGTTTTAGATGGCTCAGCCTCCCCTAGAGGAGCCCAGCAGAGCAGGGTAACTCAGCAGCTCGCCTAGGGGAGCTACAGTGGCATGGGAGCAGCCCTGCAGCTCCTCACCAGGCTGACTGGGTCTCTTGAGGGCTGTGCCACACCAGCAGAGCAGTGCAGGTGTCACAGCTGCAGCATTTCTTCCTTTGTGGCTGCCTTTCAGGTTCAGGGCAGCACAGGACAGTCACTGTTTCCACACCCTCACGTGCTCTCTCTTCTCCCTTCACTTTTTATTTTCATATTCAGTGCTTGCTTTCCTACTGTCTAGAAAGAAACCTCAGTCTTTTAGTAGTTGTCCCGTGTCTCTCTGAATTCCAGGTAACAAAGAATTTCTAGTTTGTATCTATACAGTTGTGATCAGGTTTGTGGAAAAAATTGGTAAAATGTCTGAATTCCCCAATTCCTGATCTTAACACACTTTCTTCCAGCACTGGACAACAGCTGCTTTCAAGATTTTATCTATTACTGATTAAAATTCAAATCTGTCACTGATACACTGCAGAAAATGATGAGATAGCAAAGCCAAAGCTGAGTAAGGATCATAAATTCTTGTTGGTTTTAGGACAGAGAATCCAAAATCCACTCTCACTGAAATATTTCTTCTATGAAAGAAAGATTTCAGCTGTATTAATACAACGACTCCAGCCTAGAAACATGAGCAAATCAGTGTGAGGAGAAAGTATTCATGAGCCACTAGTGGTGATAATTCGTGTGTCCCCTCAGAGCTGCTGGGAAATGTGACATCACTGAGGTTATTGTAACCCATTTACTGGGTTCACTCCAGCTCCTTGCCTAGGTCCTCACCCAGAGCTTGCACACAGCTGGCACCCAGGAGCCCCCTGAGCCCTGGGATTTGTGCATCTGAAGGACACTCCTTACTTACAGGTGCTGCTTGGATTTTAGATGCAGTTTTACATTACATTATATGCATTAAAACCAGAAAAATCCAAATCAAAAGATGGGCCAAGGCAAGCCCTTCCAATTATGGTGAACACAATTGGAAGTATTGCTAGGTAGGTGTCAAATTTAGTAAAGAGAATCTTGCTTTGTTCCTGCTGTTACAGATAGTCTTAGTATGATCCTCTCACTGCTTGCATGGCTAGAAAGCTTTTAACTTCTGTTAAAAGAAGATTTAAAAGATTTTTGTTTTTGGCTGTGGAAGTTATTCTTTAACTTAGAAAGTTCTTTTCTCATTGTGGTGGCTTTTTTTAATCTTGAAGGTATTTTCAAATTCCTTTTCTCAGCTGTTGTTTTGCCAGGTTTCCTATGCCCTGCACTCCTGGGGTCTTAAAATAAAATAAACTTTACATTCCTCTGGGCAACCAAATAACTGTTCTCTGAATTTGGGCCAAACTGGATAAGCCCTTCAGGAATTTGGTACCCAGTCAAACATGAGCATTGGTTTCCTGAGCAGCATTTGGACTTTTTAGTGGAGTATTTCACATGTTGCCTTTTACTAACAACTAAATTCTGTAGCATTTCTATTATGTGAAAAAAAAGGATTGATGTGATTTTTATAGCTCCCTGTTGCTGTGTTTGAAGGGAAGGCATACAGCATGGTACAATCAGCAGAACTCAGCTGTATTTCAGCACACAGTCACAAAGCACTTCTAGGATGGCTCAGAGTAACAAGGGTCCAAATCCTTACGGTTACAGCATCAACAGCAACTTACACACATGAACCACAAGTGCATTATAAATTCATTATCAGGACACGTTCCCTTTTGTCAGAAAATTTTTGTTCTTTGTTCCTTCTGTCAGAAGATTTTTGCTGCTTGATGTGACCTGGAAGCCCTGAGAAGGCAGTGAGTTGATGAAATGTGCTGAAGAGTGAGGTCTATATTAAGAACCTGCTCTGTGTTGCACCCACTGGGCTCCCAGTCAGGCTGGGCTCATTCAGAATGCAGTTTGTCAGAGCTAATTGCAGTGTGTAAATAATCACTCTGGGTGACACAACCCCATGGGGGGAGCAGCAAAGCTGCCTCCTGTCTGTGCCCAGCACACATTTATAGTAGGTGGTGTGTGGTTGTCCCCAGTGTTGATCCCCATGAAGACAGGTTTGGGTTCTATAGAGAAATGCTTTGGCCTTGGTTAGCAAGGGGATGAAGTGAGAACAAAGCAAACCCAGAATTGTCTGTGGGCAGAAGCTCCTGTGAATTGTTCATTCACAGCCCCTGTGCAACTGCTGTGCCACAGGCTTTTTCACTTGGATGCTGAGTGCTGGTTTCAGTCTGGTTTTAATTACTGCATTATTTTAACTTCATTGTTTGGATGTTCTGGTAGATACTCCCTTGGGTAAAATAGCACTGCATCTTTGGGATGCAGGTCAGTTCTGATGCTTTTACAGAAAGCCCTTGCCAGCAACAGCCACTGCCCACAGGATGTGTGGGGAAAAACCTCTCAGAATCTGATGGTTCCAGCCAGGAATGTGCAGCAGTAAACTGGTAACCATCAATTACTGTGGATGGTGAAACTCAGAATTTATTGATTGTCCTTCTGTTGCAGCCTAGTGTTTGGTTTTGCTGGTGAGCAAGTGCTGCTTGTACCAGCTGCTCCTGAGCAGTAGGTAGATGATTCCTTGTGCAGTGTCCTCCCTGCAGAACATTTGTTCCCAGCATCTGCTGATGGCTGATCTGACATGCTGCAAGGCATGAGGTTTCATTTTCTGGCCAGCCTGGCCCTCTGCTGCAGTGCTGAGCCAGAGCTCAGGCACGGATCCACTGCTCCCTGCTGCTGCCAGGAGGTGACAGTGGCTATTGACACAGCTTGGAGAGCATGGCCTGACTTCATGGTGCTCCCAGCCCCCTGCAGCCATGCCAGAATTTACACAGCCAAACATATGGTATGATACGCTCAACGTGGGAAATTGTCCTTGATAATTTTCCATTTGTTTGTCCAGTAATTTCTTCTGCTTACGTAAAATTTTAATGTCACCATTCTGTAACAAAGATTTCTGCAATTTAGCAACCTCATGTTAAAAACCATTTCCTTTGTTTTGTGCTCCTGGGAATCACTGTTAATGACCCCTGGGGTCTGTAACGGAGGAAGAATTGCAGGATTCAGTACAATCTTCCTCCTTCCATCTGGGCCTTGGCTGGGCAAGGATGCACGGGATCTACTCAGGTAGTGCAGCTGTGAATATTCCACTGCATAATTACATTTCAGGAGAATTTTCTTATCCAATGCCCTGCATTTGCTTTTTTGAATCCTTCTGGTACTGAAATTGTTTGCACAGAACCTCAAGGTCTTGCTCTTGAGTGCAGTTTCCTGGCCTTTGATGTGTATCATCTGTAGCATTCCTAAAGTGGTGCCCATTTCTTCTGTAATGCTGTGTAAGAGAGCACTGTGACTAGCCTGACACAAGAATATAAAAGAGTACTATATAATAATCATTCTTGTCTCTGAACTTCTGTAATTGGTATTGTCACTGTTTGAAGTGGTGAGGCACTATATTGGCACCCTATACACCTTTCTCTTGAGTTTTTCTGGCCAGAGGGATAAAATCAAAGTGTAACTTAGGAGAAAGGAAAAAAAAACAGAGGAGGAAGAATGTCATTCCAGGAATACACCATCTTGGTATTATGAGTTGTGATGATCTAAGAGATTGTATTGTACTTTATTTGAAGTATATTTTTTATTAATTAAATTAAATAAACAGTGAGTATTCCAGCTTTCTGAACACTGAGATACTATTATATAAATACTGATTTGGGCAGTTCTTAAGGCAGTGCTTAATAAGGAAGAAATAAAAACATATTTTAGGTCAGTTTTCCATCAGATAGAAAGAAAACATGTCCAGGAAATGTTCTGGTTTTGCTGTAAACTGTGCCCAAATACAGGAAACAATAATGGACGTAGCAGAACATGAGGTAAGGACTGATGTTAAGTCATATTAATTAATTTAAAATTGTACACTCTGACTTTCCTTGTTTACTGTTACCTTTTGCTAAGTCTAAAGCATGAACTTGCTATTATTGCATAGCCATGCAGAACAGCATTGTCACAGCACCCCTTTGAACACATACTGTTGCTTCAGCAAAGCCAGGAGCTGAAATACTTTTGGAGTTAAATAGAATTGGTGCTTTTTCTGGCTCCTGGTGGGTTTGGATTTAAGTCCACTGACCACAATTCAGTAAAACCACAGGTGATTGCTGACAGTGTGCATTTGGTGGGGACGTATCTTTGCTTTCTCAGTATGCAAAGCTGAGCAGAGTTTCCTGTCAAAAGGAAGGGGCTGTATTTGTCATGTGTGCACCACACCCAGGCCAACACCCCGTCTGCACCTGCAGGGATCTTGTGCTTATTTATGCTTTTACTCTCTGCAGCTGTGGGAGCACAGCAGGGCCTCACCAGTCCCCTTGGGATCCCTTTATTCTGCCAGAGCAATGGGAATCAGCCTTAGAACAAATTCATACCCAGCCTTTCATGGCTGGCCTGGTACCCACAGAGCAACATTGCACTCCAAGTACTCCATGGATTTTGGGAAAAAAATAGGTTACAGCAATCCTGGTTTTATTTCTGTAATATAAATCTGTATTGTTAAAAATATTGACAATTCTTATTGTGACTTTTCCATAAGACATTCGAATTTTGCTGTTCCCACAGTGAGAGAGGATCTGCAGATTGAGTTCAGTACAGTCTGGATGGAACACAAAAAAACCCCATAGATCTGGTTACAAGATAAAGCATAACACACAGATGTTAACATGTCTCTGCATGTATGGTTACATTGCCCATGAAATCTGTTTGGATTGCTCTCATCACTGTTTATAGAGGTATTTTCTTAGAGATCATCTAAGGACTGGAAGTAATTACTCTATACATTAAAGATATGTTTAGAAATACTGCTAAGGCAAGCACAGCAATGTTAAATACAGAGTGCATGTGGGGAATCTTAGGCTTCATCTGAGCTTCCAACTATAGATTAAAAAACTTCCCAAGAGGAATGAACTTAGCAGCCTGATAAACTGCAGTGAAAAGCAAGGATCCAGTAGTCTGCAACTGGAATACTCCCCAGTGAAGTTTCAATGATTCCTGAGATATCATTCTGAATCAGCAGTTACTGAAGTGCTTTATTTATTGTTCTTTGCAGTGCCCAGACCAGTCGTGCAAACAGGATTTGCTAGCTTACCTAGAACAGATCAAGCTGTACTCCCACCAGCTCAAGATCTGCAGCCAGGTTAAAGCAGAAATCCAGCATCTCGGTGGAGAGCTCATCATGTCTGCAGTAAGTAGAAAAATGGCACCAAGTGCTCTGTTAGACTAGGTGTTACACTTGAGTTGGGCTTTCCTGTGCTTGCAGCATGTTCCACTTCACTCCAAATCCTGTTTTCTTTTCTAATACCCACTTAACAGCAAGAATCTACAGCAGTGACACATAGGACTTCTGGCTGTTTAAAGGAATTTATTTATTTATTATTTAAAGGAATAATAATCACCTTTTATTTTAAAATTCTCACATCACATTATCACTGTTTTTCTGAAGTAGTCTGGTTTGAAGAACTCTAAGGTGCATTAGCTTGCATATGTGGAATGCAAGCTTATGGGTGTGTCTGAACACAGTGAAAACAGTCCAGGGTGGAGTTCCAGGGCAGAAAAAAATGCTGCAAGACATTCTACAGGTCTACAGAGATAAATAACAGGAAGAGCAAAGTGACTTGATTCCTGAGTGAATTTATTGATTTTGCTTAAATTTGCTTTAAGAGTTATTAGCTCCTTTACAGCCAAGTATCATTAGCCATGGAAAAGATATTTTGTGCTTTTATGGAGCTTTTATGCACTTGGCCTCAGCATAGCCATCCATAAATGCCTTCACATTCCCATGTTCTGTGATGTGTTTCTGCCTGGAGCACACAGGGTTGTGGTTTCAAGGTATAAATCTGCCAAACAGCCAAACCCAGGTAAGACACTGGGCACATTCCTACCCTTCACATACTTGGCACTGTGTTGAGGGGAACTTGACTCACATTGTTTGGAATGCTTGCTCTCTGTATCTCTCTCCCCCCAGCTGTTCCTCTGTGTCTGTACCTATCCCTGGCTATCTGTGTTCATCTGTCTCTGTGTATCCTGATCTTTATCTGTCTGTATCTCTCTATACCTATCTACCCCCATGATACCTGTCTCTATGTCCCTCCATCTGTCTGTATCTATCTGTATTAATCTCTGCCTGATTCTGTCTTTATCCACCTACACCTGTCTCAGGTTACCCATTTCTGTCTATCCCTATCTACAGCTCTCTGTATTTATCTATACCTGTGTGTACTTATCTCTGCCTGTCTGTACCTGTGCCTGTCCATGCCTGTCAGTACCTATCTATACCTGTCAGTATTTAGCTCTGCCTGTCTAAACCTATCTCTGTTTATATGTATCTCTATATATATCTGTATGTATCTACACCTCTCTCTATGTACATCTATATACATCTCTACCTATATCTATACATGTCATCTATACATGTCTCTATCCATCTATACTTAGTCCACCTGTCAGTACTTGTCACTCTCTGTCCTTATGTGTATCTCCCTCTCGGTACCTGTCAATATCTGACAAAAGCTCTGTCAAAGATCTGTCTCCAGCCCTGCCAATATCTCTGTCAGAACCCATCAGAATACAAGAGAATTTGTCAAAATGTGTCAGAATCTGCCAAAATCTAACAGAATCGGTGAAAATCTTAGAGAATGTCAGGATCTAATAGAATCTGTCAGGATCTGTCTGTACCTCTCTGTCAATGTCTATGTGTACCTGTCACTTCCTCTCCCTGTCAAAAATTTCTTTTATCTAGATAGTCAATATCTACCTCTGCTTGACAAAATCTGTCAGCACCTCTGTCTGTCTGTCCATACCTGTCAGCCCGTCTGTCTACCTGTCCATGCCTGTCTGTACCTCTCTACACCTGTCTATACTCACAACTCTCTAGAGCAGCCTCTACCTGTGTCAACCTCTCTGTACCTATCTCTGCCTCTCCCTGTGCCTGTCTACCCCTGTCTCTATCCATCAATATCTGTACGTTCCTATTTCTGTCTCTAGGCCTGCCTATCCCTATTTCTCTTTCAATAAAACTATTATTACATTTTATGTAGTTTATAAATAATTGGAAATGAGCCTTTTGGTGCTGAGGTGAGGTTTGAAACACTCATTTCTATAGGATACTTGTGCTGGCTAATTTAAATGGTAATTTAGACACCACATTCGAACCTCTGGAACATACAGTTACATACTTTTAATTGCATGGATAATTTCTGAAGCCAATGCTTGTTTTTACTTGGACAGCACATTAACCAAGTTTATCTTCCTTACTTGTTTCTTTTCACAAGCAGTTCTGTGATCAGTGTGGGTTACAGTAAAGTCAGATATTGGAACCAAGTTTGGTTCTTGCTATTTCTGCCTCCTGCTGTAGAATACTCACATTGTTTTCTTTACCTTTTTTGTTGTGTCGCTCGTGTCAACAGTGCATAATCTGTCTGGTGCAAAAATTTTAAGTTCTGAAAATGAAACCCCAAATTTAACTTATTGATAATCCCGAAGATATGCCTATAGATCCTAGCCCTGCTTCAGGGAAGGAGGGTCAGAATTTGTCCTGTGTGCAGCCAGGAACTTGAGAAAGCCAACTGCTTGTTTGTGGCAGTGGGGAATGAAGCGACACGGACCCCCTGATGCATCCCAAGGAGGTCTTGTTATTGTAGAAATTGGCCCCTTTTCATACCTTTAATTCTAACCCAACAGAACTGAAACCAACCTGAGACTTAACAGAATTTAACAGAAGAAGGGCACCCATTGGCTGCCTCACCTGCCATGCTGCTGCCCACATGTCCTGCTGTCCAATCAGCTTCCTGCTTGCACTCCCCGCACATCCTCCTGTCCAATCAGCTTCCTGCTCGCACTCTGCCCGCGCATCCTACTGTCCAATCAGCTTCCTGCTCATACTCTGCCCGCGCATCCTACTGTCCAATGAGCTTCCTGCTCGCACTCTGCCCACGCATCCTACTGTCCAATCAGCTTCTTGCTCGCACTCTGCCCGCGCATCCTACTGTCCAATCAGCTTCCTGCTTGCACTCTGCCCATGTGTCCTCCTGTCCAATCAGCTTCCTGCTCATACTCTGCCCACGCATCCTACCGTCCAGTCAGCTTCCTGCTCCTATGCTCCTGCAGCCAATCACAGTCTTGCTCACGCTGCCTCTCTGCCCCAGCCCCTCCCACGCGGTGCCATCCCTGGCGCTGTGCTGTGTGCAGCCTCACCAGGGCAGTGATTATTGCATGTGCTGAGTGCAGCCTCACCAGGGCAGTGATTATTGCCCCGTGTGCTGAGTGCAGCCTCGCCGGGGCAGTGATTATTGCCCCAAGTGCTGAGTGCGGCCTCGCCGGGGCAGTGATTATTGCACCAAGTGCTGAGTGCAGCCTCGCTGGGGCAGTGATTATTGCCCCAAGGGCTGAGTGCGGCCTCACCAGGGCAGTGATTATTGCCCTGTGTGCTGAGTGCAGCTTCACTCGGGCAGTGATTATTGCCCCAAGTGCTGCACCAATCCCCTCTAGCTCAGTAAACAGGCAGGGAGGTGCTTCCTTTGGGAGCCATTGAAATGGAGAGCGTGCTCAGAGGCCTGAATGGCTGTGGGGGTGTTCTGTGAAATCAAGGTGAGATGCTGCAAGGTTGCTACTCTCTTAAATAATCTTAGAAAATGCTCCAACAATGACTGTGTTCTTTTTAAAAAAAAAAAAAATAATATGGGTGCTACATAGAAAAGAGTCAGATTGCTAGCCAGTGTCAAAAGAGACATGTGCTCTCACTCCAGGCCTTTTAAAGACAGTGGAGACATGGTTGCCACCAGTGGTTATGAAAAATTTCTCGAAAATTTTAAAAAAGTCTCCCTGGTCTCTGTTTTGGGAAGGGGAGGCCATTTGTGACTGACTGTGCTCAACTGCTCCCCTGCAATTAAAATTGTGGTGATCTGAAACTGCAGCCCAACCAACCAGTGATGGCCTTTTGTATTAATTTAGCTCTTTATGTTTCAATTGCTTCAGTTTTAGAAGAATAGTGGGATTTACATTGTGCAGATAAATTGCTCAGTTGAAAAGGAGAGAAATGCACTAGTGGTATAAAATGGCTGGTTACTGAATTGCTTTTCTTAAAAGCTGGAGCAAGTTCCAGTTTTCAAAGTGCATGTGGGAGCTTAGAAATTGATCACATTGCTAGGTTAGCTGGCCTTGAAATAAATTACAAACCCAAGTTCTGTGTGAGACAGCAGAGGGGTTCTTCTCCCCTTTCCCACCTTGTCCCTGCCCAGAAAACAATATTAGAACTCCAGAAAATGCAGGAGTCAGAACTGTAGCTGGAATAGGATTATATTTTATATTCTCCCCAATTCTGATCTTGTCTCAATGAGAATCAGAAAATGAGACAGCAAGCCCTTGCAGATAGTAAAAGTTTTATTGTGCATTAAGTAAAAAAATTTGGGAGTCTCCAAATACCTGAATCTGGTTAGTGAAGATCTGCTACAGGAAAAGAAATCTACCAGAAAGAGCATTAGGAAATAATCCTACAGGTTTCTCCATTGTTTGCTGCCCCCTGCATCCATGTAGGCGTGTGCAGGAATGACCTCCCTGGTGCTCGGGCATGCTCCCCTCCTGTGGCTGGCATTGGCTCCTCACAGTCCCTCCTTCAGGAGCTGGGACAGGCGTCTGGCAGCGCAAAAGCTGAGGGGGGAAGCTCCTTTTCTGTGAGAAATGACACATTTCCATGTTCAGATGGGTCAGTACCAACTTCCACAGTGACAAAGCCACTTCAAGTACCAGCTGGTGGAATCCACACATAAAAGCACTGTTTTGGGATGGCTCTTACATTCACCCCTACCTCTCTTCTCCAACCATTAGAACAAGGATCTTGGGTTTAAATCACCTTCCAGGAAAATTCCTTGTCACAAGAGTAGCAGCTCATTTAAAAAATTACCCAAACTAGCCTCTCTTGAAGCCTAAGGAGCAATAGAGAGGAAGAGAGGGATGAAAAGCAGAGGATGTAGTGTCACATATGTGCAGACCTGCAAAAGAAAGAACTGTCTTCTTGGAACAGAGCAGCCACAGTCGCTGTCTTACCAGTTCTGGATGATGCTGTGGTGGAGCAAGGAGCCCTAAACCAAAGGAGCCCTGAACTGGTGCTCCAGGTTAACCTTGGATGGTACTGTGGAGCAGTGGGTGGCAGTGCCATGGCACAAGGGCAGCTGTGTCTCTGTCAGCAGC